ATTACCTGTAGAATTAGAAGCCCTAGTTAAGTTATATTACCTGTAGAATTAGAAGCCCTAGTTAAGTTATATTACCTGTAGAATTAGAAGCCCTAGTTAAGTTATATTACTTGTAGAATTAGAAGCCCTAGTTAAGTTATTTTACCTGTAGAATTAGAAGCCCTAGTTAAGTCATATTACCGATAGAATTAGAAGCCCTAGTTAAGTCATATTACCTGTAGAATAAGAAGCCCTAGTTAAGTCATATTACCGATAGAATTAGAAGCCCTAGTTAAGTCATATTACCGATAGAATTAGAAGTCCTAGTTAAGTTATATTACCTGTAGAATTAGAAGCCCTAGTTAAGTTATATTACCTGTAGAATTAGATGTCCTAGTTAAGTTATATTACTTGTAGAATTAGAAGCCCTAGTTAAGTTATTTTACCTGTAGAATTAGAAGCCCTAGTTAAGTCATATTACCGATAGAATTAGAAGCCCTAGTTAAGTCATATTACCGATAGAATAAGAAGCTCTAGTTAAGTTATTTTACCTGTAGAATTAGAAGCCCTAGTTAAGTTATATTACCTGTAGAATTAGAAGCCCTAGTTAAGTCATATTAGCGATAGAATTAGAAGTCCTAATTAAGTTATATTACCTGTAGAATTAGAAGCCCTAGTTAAGTCATATTAGCGATAGAATTAGAAGCCCTAGTTAAGTTATATTACCTGTAGAATTAGATGTCCGAGTTAAGTTATATTACCTGCAGAATTAGAAGCCCTAGTTAAGTCATATTAGCGATAGAATTAGAAGCCCTAGTTAAGTTATATTACCTGTAGAATTAGATGTCCTAGTTAAGTTATATTACTTGTAGAATTAGAAGCCCTAGTTAAGTCATATTACCTGTAGAATTGGAAGTCTAATTAAGTTATATTCACTTACCTGCAACAAGAAAGAATCCACAAAGATCTGATTATGTTGAATACGAGCAAGAGGAACCACAGGAACACACGTACCACTAAGAAACTGTGAACTAGGCCCCATTACTTTGTTCCAAGCATCAGCTTTAAATCTGTACAAATCAATTCTGGTTTGAGGTTGTTCTCGACCAATTAGCCAGGCTAACATGGGGCTGATGGATTCCTCCCCATCATTCCTCTCGTGTGTTTTATTCCTTGAAACAGTGTGTGTGTTGAATCTAAGACTTGGATGAACCACAACAGAGCAAGCTAGATATATATATGACATATATTAGATTATGTCAATGAATATTATTATCAAACTATTCTCAACCTCAGAACACATCTGTGAAATGACTCTAACCATGAAAGCTAGTATATTTAATCAAGCTTCAAGTGATAAGTTATAAAATCTTTTAACACTTATACAGTTTCAAGTAGATATTTTATTATTACGAAATATAACTAATACATGCATGATCCTATTTAGAAACATCCAACTAAAGCAACTACTTCTAAAGGTAAACTAATGTTTAACTTTATCTGCCCAGGCATCATTTATTGCACACATCACGAGGTTTTAGTAGCTTACATTCAAAATTTTATTAAACTACTTTTTGTTTATGTCATAATAATTAGAATAGCATAAAATTGTCGCTAATAATCCATATTTTAATAGTATAAACTTTAAAATTCTTAATTTTATAAGGCAATATATTAAAAAATCTTACAATATCCCCCTAGTGTGAGAAAAATGACATTCTCTGTAGGCAACCCATCTTCTCTATTTTATTCACCACCCCTCCAATAAGTATGAAATTTAATGTAAATGCCTCACTATAAAACCATCATTGCTCAGACAAACCATAATTTTTATAGCTTTCAATTTTGTTTGGTTACAGAGCCATCGAACACAAAACCAGACCCCTCTTGCCATACCCACTTGTGACATCCTCTCTTTCAGGATTTATCATAGTTCTCTCTTAGGTTTAATTCGGTATTATCTATAACAAATAGAAAGCCAAGGTTTTCATCTATCAAATGATGTATTATATTACATTGTGCTCTGAACAGAGAATTGTCAATTTCTCTGTTAGTATAAGCTTCGTTCCCATGGGAAAGATAACAACAAGCTTGGATGAATTTGTAACAGCTCTTGTCGCATAGTTAGAAAGCCAGAACAATTGTGATAGTTAGAAGAAATTGTCTACTTTTTGATGTTATCATTCTATGTTTTTTGGGGCATTATTTAATTAAATAAAAATTATTTTTTGCATTACTACCATCAGTATAAAAAAGTAGGGTTAAGTAACATCAACAGTCAACAGCAAAATAAAATAATACAAGGGTAAGTACTTTGTCTTGTTTTTCATGTTTCTTCTTTATTTATTATTATAAAAGTAACCAAAATATAAAAATACAGATCTATAGGTTAATTAAGGTTAGATTAGGTAAAATAAACAATAATAATAATAATAATAATAGTATAATATAATAAATATATTTCACGAGCATGCACACATAATTTGATAGCGTAATGTGAGCTGCACATTCCCCAAGTGATTTACAACTTGTAATGGTGCAAATAGTAGTTAGACACAGTTCAAAGGGCAATAAAACAATAACATTTAATTATAATTAGATGTATACTGTTAAGAGTATAAAGCTACTTAGGATAAACAAATGTAGTTTCATGTTACAATTTGAAGTCATTCCAGAAAGAAAAAGAGGGTAATTTAGATTTTTTTTTTGGTTGTTAAGAGGTCAGTCAAGTTGACCAGCCTTGCATAAAGGTAGGGTAGAGAAAACAACAGGTAAAATATACAGTTTTAGTGAAAACAAACATTCAAAGTGTATTTAGAAGGTTTTAGTGATTACACAAATGAAATTTGAGATTTTTGAGATGAAAAAAGTATTTTTAATCTTAACATGAAAATCACTTTGCACATGGTCTATTCAAAACAAATACTCTATATATTCACAGACAAATCTTTTTTTAGTTTATCAAAAATACTTCAATAAAAAATATACTTTTTTGTATGTGAAAGACTTATAATGTTTACTGAAAGACTGTCAAGTTTCCTGAAGATATACACACTATATTAAAAGTTAGTAGTATCAAATCTATAAAGACTTTAAATGAGTACAATGAGGTCACATAGTCGGTTAAATTGACAGAGCCCATATGGAGAGAGTTAATGTACAACAAAAATTTTGTTAACTTCTTATGCTTACTTCACTGGCTTATGTAAATCTAAGTATGCTCTAACTTTAAATATTACTTTTATTTATCAAATGTACTTTAATTATACATAAAGAGTTGTGGTTATCAAGTTCATTTTTAAATGAAGTCAAATCCTTACTTTCAAACTTGACTGTAATTGTGTAAGTGGTCTTGAGCTGTGATACAACAGATAGGTAATAGTACGTGTCAAGCTGAGGCTGGGAAATAACATGAACAAATTCCTTCAGGTTCATGCCTGTAAAGTTCATATCATTGATTAGAGGAAAAGTGTGTGCACTAGCACCAAATCCAAGAATACAGGGTTGCACACTGCCAAAGTTGTATCCATCAGTTGTATTGGTATTCGCTAAAGAGCAACTAGAAATATGCAATTTCAACAGCCATATATCTTCAGGAACATACACCCTATAAAAAAAAAGATATCATTCTGTGAACTTCAAGAAATAACCAGTGATTATAACCACTTGATTTAGTGTTACAATTTACTACAGCTCAGAAATGACGAAATAGTTAAACTGTCATTGTTAATAGCCTATAAGATCACCTAAGTGTAATTAATAATTAATTACTTATTTCTTTCTTTTATTACTTAGATACTAATTACTAACTAGTTCTTATCCTACATTTCAGCTACTGGGGAGAACTGTTTTCTGTGTTGTTAGTGGCCAGGATTTGATCATTGGACTTCTCGATGGAAGTTTTGTGCATTATCCACTCGACTCATTACAATTTGAATCAATCAACTATTGAATGTTTCCAAGAGGGGTATCCAAGTCTTGCTGATTACTATGCTAGGTTGACTGAGTGAGTGTTTATAAGTTAGGTGGATGTAAAATGCTTCTTTTATCTTTCTTTCTTTTCTCTTGTGTAGTTCATATTTTATTTTTTCAGCCTTATTCCTTTTTATTATATGGTCTTCCTCTCTGGTATGATGGGCTAGGAGATCCGTATTACGAAGTCTTGTATGTCTATTCTGCTGAATTCAAACTTTTGTTTCTCCAATGTATTGGTATTCACAATCACAGAGAATGCTTTAAATGGTGTTTTACTTCTATATTTGGTCTTTAAGTCATTTGGTGTGTACTAGTTTGGTTGTATTACATTGTGAATTTTTAATACTGTTCTGACTTAACATTGTTTGCATAATTTTTGTGTTTTCAGAGAAATCCTGACATGAGGGAATATGGTTGTAAGTTTGTAATTGTCCTTCTGTTTATTCTCAGTGTTTACCTTTTTTATTTTCTTCTTTATTAAGTGTTCTGTGTATCCATTGTTAAGGATTGTTGCACGTGTAATGATGTGTTCTTCCATTTTGTAAGTTTCTTCAGTATTACAAATCTTGTTCATTCTGGTAGGCAATCTTTGATGCCTGCCTTTGCACTGTTAAGATTGTTTGATTTATAATCAAAGTATTTAGCTCACTTCTATCTGTGGATTTCCCATAAACCTCTGTGACATAGGAGTTATGTGTCATGCCCACGAACTGGAGTTTATTTATTTTCTATTTTCATTGTGAATTACTTGCAAGGTTTTGTCTGTTTAAGTAGTTTGTGAATTATTTAGTCAACGGGACTTATCTTCATGTTGGAAATAGCTTGTGTTGACACAGAAATTTGTTTGTTTTTTTAATTGTGTAGACTGTCAGTCGGATGTGTCCCTTAACCCTATAACCACAATCCCATTTTTAAAACCCTTCCTGCACATGTTACCGAGTAACATTCAAAAGTTAATTGAACCACTTTATTACCAATGTATTATAATGAAATTATTTTCAAGTACATTATAATTCAAAGTTTTATATTATCTAAGTTTTATTTCTTTATTTCAAAATAAACCTCTAAAATATTATCTAAAACTTGTTATCTCATTACTCACTCACAATTACAAAATCTCAACAGTAATAGCTGGTATAGAAAAAACTGTGAGTGCAATGTAAACCATGACGTGCAGACGTTCAAAGTACAGTATATAGGTAGTACATTCCAAGAACTTGTCCCATAGCAAACCATTGTAAAATTTCCTCACTTCAAGATAAGCCATTCCCACTTGCAAAGTAGAAGCATGTTGCTAAGTGACAGTTTTAACCTGAATGGTATGTTTATAATCAATAAAAGGAGCCAATTTCCCACTATGTTTTGTAACTAGGGCAGGGAAGTTAGACGATATTTGCGTGTTGCAGAGGAAGTAAAAAAAAGCTTAGTCCATTGCTTTTACTTTTATATTTTAGTTAAATACATATTATTTGTATTTGAAAATTCATATTTGAAAGGTTTAATGATCTGATAAATTTATTCTATGCCTTGCCTCACCAAACAATTGTTCACAAAGTTACAAGTGTAAACAAAATTTTGCTGGTTGTTAAACCGTCTCTGCTGATATTAACGTTCTATCATCCGCAGGCACCTGTTGATGTATGCTGAATAAATAATCAAAGATAAAGAACAGGAAAGGAAAGGAAAACAAAAAAAACTGTAAGTGAAAAGGTAAAGACATGAAATTATGCAGATGACCCATAGAAGATATTTTAGGATTATTCAATGAAGAGTTGAAAGGTATATATAAATTTCTATTTCTTAATTTTAAGCATTTCATTGCACTGTACGTTGATGACAATATAGTTAGTGATATGGTAGAAAAATGGAAAATAAAATATAAAAACACATTAGATATTACTTTAGCAAGTTCTAGAGATTATGTAAGTGAAATGTGAAAACTATAAGAAAATAAATAGTATTTTTATACTCAAAATGAATATCACTTTTCAGGTGAACTATTCAGAGTCTGAGTGCATATAAGTACATTAAATAAGGAATTTTTATTAGAAATAGTAGAAAAAACAAATTAAGTATTTTCTCAAACTATATACTTTTATGGAAGTTCTTGTCAAGTTTTAAACAATTTTATCCACTGGTTTTATTACTGGAACAAAATTTAGTGAGAATAAAGTAACATGTTTAAGTATGAAGCACGTCGTCATTATCAGATTAATAGTTCTAACGTCTTCAATCTGTTGGCAGAGTATCTGTAGTGTGTCAGGGGTTGGTACATTAATGAAAAGGTTGGATAAGTAGAGGCTGATCATTGGATTTTGTGAAGTTAATATGATTGCTTTTATAATCCCACTAAAGTAATGAGTTCTTAACATGTTTTTTATATGAATGCAGGTCCAGTTGTGCTTTTTATATGAATGTGGGTATGCTTTTTATATAGATGTAGGTGTTGTTTCTATATGAATGCAGGAGTGTTGTTTATACTGATGCAGGTTCAGGTGTGGTTTTTATATGGGTTTAGGTCCAATTGTGGCTTTTATATGAATGCTGGTGTGGTTTTATATTGATGCAGGTGTGGGTATTATATGAATGTAGATGTGGTTTTTATATGAATGTAGATGTGGTTTTTATATGAATGCAGGTGTGGTTTTTATATGAATGCAGGTGTGGTTTTTATATGAATTTATGTGTGGTTTTATATGAATTTATGTGTGGTTTTATAATGATGCAGGCATGGTTTTTATATGAATGCAGGCATGGTTTTGATATTGATGCAGGTCCAGATGTGTTTTTATAATGGATGCAGGTCCAGGTATGGTTTTTATATGAATGTGAGTGTGGTTTTGATATTGATGCAGGTCCAGACGTTTTTTTAAATAATGGACGCAGGTCCAGGTGTGCTTTTTATATGAATGTGGGTGTGGTTTTGATATTGATGCAGGTCCAGATGTGTTTTTTGTAATAGAGACAGGTCCAGATGTAAATAATACATCTACAACATATCTGTCTAAAGATTGTCTTGATTAATCTCTGCAGTTTATTATGGGATGTTTGTGAATTTTGAGGTAAATCATAGATGTTAGGAATGGTGCTGGTGAGTACTATAGTTGTTTGACTCTGTTTGTTCCAAGTTCTTTGTGCAATTTTTTGAAGAATTGATTAATTTTCTTCTCTGTTAGCAGTTGATTAGATTATCTTCATGTAGTGGCAATTTTTGACTAGGGTTCAGATTATAATGTGGTATTCTTTTTTGTCCATGATTACAGTAGTATTTCCTTCATCTGCTGGAAAAATTGTTATGATGTTGTCTTTCTTCAATTTTCTGGGGGGACATTTTTTCTGATAGGTGGTGTTACAGCATGGTTTGCATTTCAAAGCTTTCTGGGCAGCTGACAATATTTTTATTCTGAATTCTTCTTTTTCTCCTTCTTGTAGGCTGCAAAATGCATCTTCTGTGATTGTAATTACATCTAAGGTGGGTGTACTGTTATATGTTGGAGCAAAGTATAATCCCTTACTTAGAACACTTTCTTCAAATTCTGTTAACGATCATTTAACTATAAGTTATTATAGTACATTTAAGAGTCTACAGGATTTAGTTTATCTGTTTTCTTTATTACACGTGTATATTTGTGTTGATGTTTCATTAGCTGAGCATAACTTGATAATTTCTGTTGTATTATCAATCTTCTGATATAGCTCATTAATGTTATGTTTATTTATATGACTATTGTGGAACATGGCTTCATTAAATTTCAGATTCAGTTTTTGACATCAAGGGGTGTTGATAGGTAACTTTTAAGTCCTTTAGAAATTATGCTGTTTACATTTATAGAGGAAGATGAGATGGTTAGTCATTTTAGCTATTTACAGCTAATTTTTTTCAAAATCCCTAAATTCCTTACAAAGTCCAGGGTCATACCTAGTCATTAATACTTACAGTAAGGTTATGGTAATTGGATCTCAGCCAACATAGAAAAGCCCTCAGCTTAGTGGCAAAGACATAAGAACTAGTTAGTAATTAGTAGCTAATTAATAAAAACAATTAACTCTTTAACATAATTAGAATTAGGCTACTAACAATGACAATGATTGATATCCTATCACTAACTTACCATAAATAATTACGTTAAACTATTTCACCAAAAATTACAAAGATTTCAGTTGTGACAATTGGCAATAGCCATCACCAAATGGCTCTTTACTTTAAATTGGAAAAGAAACCAAAAAACAATGGGATTCTTACTAATACGTAATTAAAGAACTAGCAAAATTTAATCAATAACCCAACACACACACAACCACTCCATTGATATGAAAAAACTCCATTCTTTGTATTTGATAAAATCAATTTCCTATAATTGGTTCAACTTGCTTATTTAAAAGTTTAATCCAGTTGGCAGAAACCCTGTACGCAGAAGAAATAAAAACAAGAAGGCTTACTCTGAAGGCTTCTTGTTTCTGTTTTCTTTTACATAGAATAATATATGAGGTAGAAAGTGTACCTTTCCAGTCCTTTTAACTTGTGCAGAGTGAAGCAAGGATATAGTTATAACTTGTGTGACAATGATTACTTTTAAAAAAAGTCAGTAAGAGATATTAGAATTATCACAACTTTATAAACAGTCAGTAAGAGATATTAGAATTATCACAACTTTATAAACAGTCAGTAAGAGATATTAGAATTATCACAACTTTATAAAAAGTCAGTAAGAGATATTAGAATTATCACAACTTTATAAAAAGTCAGTAAGGGATATTAGAATTATCACAACTTTATAAAAAATCGGTAAGAGATATTAGAATTATCACAACTTTACAAAAGTCAGTAAGAGTATTAGAATTATCACAACTTTATAAAAAATCGGTAAGAGATATTAGAATTATCACAACTTTATAAAAAGTCAGTAAGAGTATTAGAATTATCACAACTTTATAAAAAGTCAGTAAGAGTATTAGAATTATCACAACTTTATAAAAAGTCAGTAAGAGATATTAGAATTATCAGCAAACAACTGAGATATATCAATAAATCCTAAATATAAACACAACAATCCAAAAATTAATACAATTGAATCAGATCAAGTTGGAAGTGACTAAAAAAAAAGATATTTAATGTTTATTCACTAAAATACTAGTACTAAATTTTGGGCAAAGTATATATCAACAATTTGTTCTTGTTCCATTCAATAACATAATCAGTTTCTTCACACACAAACAGGTTTATTGGGACTACGTACAATTAATCTATACACTTTTTTTTCTAACTCTTTTAAATACAATTATTCAATTCTTGGAATTCTATGGAATTATCTTTATCTTTACAGTTAACCAATGAATTCTAGATTTCTTTTTTATGTAGGTATAAACACTTACTTGTACAGAAGCAGCTGAGAGGTTGCTTCCATCTCATGTGACACACCAGGATGTAGATGATGGACATTTGGCTCATGTTTCCAAGCTGCCATAGAAGCTAAGCTGTAATGGCACCGATGACTTATGCCCTAAAACATCAAACAATACCATCTCATGAAACTTTATTTTTCCTTAGGCCATTTAAGCAATGCTAATATTCTACAGTTAGAAAGATGAGAAAATGTTTCAAAATTTATAAAAACAAAGTACAGATAATATATATATAATTAATGGTTCAGAATATCAGTGAGTAAAAACTCCTGGAAGACAAATTTACAAAGCTGCTTATTAGGTCTGAGAAGTTATTTCACTAAAGTTAGGTTTAAAAAAAACGAAAGTTGGTCCAAACTCAGGAAGTTTCATCTTTTCTTTAAGTATTCTTTAATTAATTTCATACATTGTTGATTGACTATTGCTGTTTGATTATTATTCAGTATTTTTTATGTACTGTAATCAGAAAAGTTCTGTACATGAGGCGACTCGGATGTTGACGGAACTGCATCTCTTACATGTTGCACTTAGTTTCACAGGAACTTGTTTACGTAGAAAGATAAGAGCAGTACGGAAAATCATACAAGATTTATTAAGCTTTATGTTCAGAATAAAGGTGTCTCAAGCAATAAGAGAACAGAAAAACTCACACCTACAATAGTTCATAAAACAATTTCGATAAAGTATTTTGGATTTTCAAATACAGCTATAATTTTAGATCTTTTTCTAATTTTACATTATTCTATTCTTAAGATTTCCCTGTGTTACACAGCTGATTTAAAAGTGTAAAGAAATTTGATAAAATGAATAAATACAAACAACAATATGGTAATATTAATTTCAAAATAAATATTTTGGTAGATTTTGTTGTAATGCTAAGACTAGAGCTGGATCATTAGTGGTATTTGCTAACTGGTTAATAAACAGGCTTATTAATCAATTACATTTGATTAATTGTTTAATGCACCATGCCCCCAACAACTTATACAAGCAGAAAAAAAAGCCCAGTCTGTACCAAAGTCTTAACTTTCTTAACTACTGCATTATCCTAACATTATGTTAATTTTCCCGTTTTTTTGTATATTGATTTGTCTTTAAGTAATTTTGAATAACCCTTGATTTCATGTGATAGACCTCCTCTGAATATCACCATTTGTGCATTTGCAAACAACATTTTTGTCAAAAAAGTTTCCCACAAATGTTACAGACACTTCGTATATGGCAAATAAATCACTAATGTTGGCTAAATACCATCACAGAATTGCCATTGTTTGTTTTATCAAATGTGCAATAATCCCACACTGGTCTCATGTAAATCAAATAAACTGATAGTTAAATAATGTTATACTCTCACTATATTGTGTAATAATGTTTTTATTTAAAGAATATTACAATTACAAATAATAAAATAGCTAGTTGGATGATCTATTTATGTATGTTGCTTGAATAGGATAACCACAAAAACGATATTTAATAAAGATCTGTCATCACAATATTTTGTAATCATCTACCATACTTACTCAATAGTAAACTTATCTGATTGGATGACAATTTTATTTTATTTGGTGAACATAAAAAAACAACTCATGTTTACAAATATTGCAATACAATAAAACCATACTATAAGTATCAGAAATTAAAAAGACCATATTTAAATAAAGAACCAAACACCAACAAAATACTTTTATTAAGCCTTAAGCAATTTCTAGTCATGTGAATTCCTTGCTTCATAATGTATATATATATATATTCCTGTGTACAGGCAATCTACTTAAACCTGATGATGACAAAACCTTCTCCAAACGTTGTACATTTGTTACTTTGTGAAACTATTAATAAAGTTTTCTATTTTATCCATCTCTGAACTGTATAAACTTACCTACCTTATCTCAGATTATTGGATGTCTTCTCATTGAAAACTATTTCTGTAGCTTTCAAACAGATATAATTTAACACACAAAAAAATTTCACAACTAATGGAATGTTTAGAGAAACTATAAAAAAAGAAAACTCTTGAACCTATATATTTATTATACTAATACACAATAGTCTAATTCTTGCTCTATCCAATCATAATTAAACTTTCTTCGTAGCTGCTTTAAATGTTTTGTTTTATAAGTAAGTGATCAAACCACATATCAAGGTTTCAATCAAGGCCTGTACAAAAATTAATGGAAAATGCTTGAAAATCAAAAAATAAATAACATATTCACAAAGGGTGAAAGGTTCTTAGTGAAAATAAAGTTCCTCTTTTGAACTGGGTAGGAAAAGTAAAAATTGACAAGTATGTTCTTTTGTTTACAGGAAAACTCTTTGAAGCTATGTAGAAATTAAAATATTCTTTTTTCTTCACTAAGTGTCAGAATACAACAAAATATGGATTTTCAAATATTTTTGTGTTCATACTGCGTAAAACTTAGAATTAACATATAAAAAATATGTGAAAAGCTAGAGGAAGTACAAAATCTGTAACAACCTGAAAATAATATGATTATGAGTATTTCATAGATTTCTCTTTACAAGTTTTGACAAGATTACTGTATCAAACTACTGAATTTTTGTCGGTGAAAATAATCATATTACTTTGTGACACTTTAAAACAACAAATTTTAATATCTAAACTTTATCACTCTAAAAACATCAAAAAATAAAATACTTCTTAGAAAAATAACTAAGTTTGGCTATAGGCCTGCATCATGTGAAAATTATATGAATATTTCTTTCATTGTTCAAAATAAATTAATTTTTAAAAACACAGGCAAAAATCAATACATGATGTTTGACAACAATATTGATGTTCATAAAAAATAAAATAGAGAAATGTCAAAGATGTTATTATTTTTCTTACTTATAGCTACACCTTCTAGTACGTTTAGTAATAAAATCAATTGGAAAGCCTACTAAACCACTGAGTAGCTCAATTGTGTTATAATCTAATGATTTCAAAGCTTACATCTTTATTTCTAATAATGATTGATACGAGAATAAAAACAGTTAAAGGCAAACATTTCAAATTTTGTAATTAAAATTAAATAGTTAGAATTTTACTTCTAAGAAACTTATAAAATCACCTAAATTTATATTTTAGAGTTCATAAAAAGGATGTCTGTTTTAAACTTTAAGTCATCACTTATACTTGGACATTAACAGTATGAAAATACCATTCTTGTGAATGTTATTAGTTCCAAACAATAAAAAATTGATTTTGTAACAAATATATGTTATAAGAACTGCAGGTGTCCTAAGCAGTACCAATTTTGGTGAAAACAAAGCTCTACAATCTAGAGCATACACACACATTGTTAATTTTATAGTGTCTGGAAAAAGACAAATCACAAATATCATGACAAAATTTAATTGATTTTCATATTGTTGTAACTCCAGCTGTGTTGACGTTGACTACAGAAAAACTGAAGAAAGTTTTTACAGTAATTAATAGACTAATCAAATAAAACATTGACATATCTGATATAACTGGCTGTTTTTTATTAATTTCTGGAAAAAAACAGAGGGGGTTCAGCCCCCCTAAATCAGTGTATATACTTATACAGCATTAAATAATACAGTTATTGATTTCTGAAAACAATACGTGGAAGGGATGGGTTAAGAGTTTTAACCACCTTGATCCTCTTTCCCTAAACCTGCACTTGCTTATACAGCATAAAATAAGTTACTAGATCTAAAAAAAAAGAGGGGGGGGTTGCCCTCTGGACCCCTCCACTAGATTCACTCCTGTTTATACAACATTAAGTTATACAGTTATTAGTTTCTAGAACAAAAATGGAGGGAAATCTTTACCTCTTGGGCCCTTACCCTTGATATGCACCTGCTTATACAACATTAAAAAATACTGTTACAGTAACTTCACCTGTTAAAATAACCATAGATTTAGATTTTATTTAATACTTAGCCAGAGAGTTGGTAGTAGGTGCCATCAATCAGTTGCTTTCCCTACAGTCGGTGGTTCAAATTTAGTGATAAAGGAAGATAGCCTAAGTAGCTTTACAATAACAAAGAAATGATGACAAAACTAGTGCAAATGGGAATCAAACACGAAACCCTCAAATCACAAAGTATCTCCCCACACACATGACCATTAAATTTGTTTGTAGTTGAGCACATAGTTACACAATAGGCTATCTATGCTGTGCCCACCACAGGTATCAAAAGCTGGTTTCTAGTGTTATAGTGTTCAAAACAATGAATTCAGAATAAATATTATAACACTACAAGAAGATAGATATACATGGTATATTCACATACCACATTAGTTTGATCCCAGAGTACAAAGATGTTCATCTTATATTTTTAATGGATGACACCTAACCTAATTAACAGTGGTCTTACCTGTTGTTTAATTTCTTGATTCCAGCCTGGTATGAATGCAACAGCAAACCAGCTTCCTGGTAGGGGGTTTGAAAGGTGGAATTCAGGCATCTCGCTGGGCTGGACGGAAGTACGGGTGGTTAGGTGGTAAACCTGTTCTGTTGGCACAACCATGTGGTCTGGGAAGGAGGAATTATCTGGCGAAATGACAGGGTAGCTCCCATGTCTTAAGTAACTGCAAGTGTTTTAAAACATAAAATGCTAAAACTGTTGGTTTTACATATTTTACAAAATGCCATAGCATTACCATATAATCTGATCCACAATGATGTATACCATATTACTTTGATCCATAATGATGTATACCACATTACTTGATCCATAATGATGTGTACCACATTACTTTGTTCCATGATGATGTGTACCACATTACTTTGTTCCATCATGATGTGTACCACATTACTTTGTTCCATGATGATGTGTACCACATTACTTTGTTCCATGATGTGTACCACATTACTTTGTTCCATGATGATGTGTACCACATTACTTTGATCCATGATGATGTGTATCATATCATTCTTATTCATGACATCTACATATTAATTAGATCCATAATGATGCATGCCACATCAACTTGACCCATGCTTGTCTTTTAACTTGAAACAAACTGTGTAAAACAGTCCTCAATGATCTTTAAAGTTGCTGCAATTCTAAGAGCCCAAGAGTGAAAGTATAGTTGAATATTTTACAATATGTCAAATAAACTACATGTACCATATCCAGTGTTGATGAGGCATTTTGTCCAATACCAGGTCTCATCAGGCTAACTGGGATATGACAAATGTGATGGTGTCTAGGCAATATACATTTCATCAATTTTCATGAACACTGACTATTATGGTATGAGCCAGATTAAGCAAGTAACTGATCATCAGTGAAATTTAAGCAACAGTTAAGAAAGTGAGGATGGCCACAATTCATAGAATGTGTAAATAGTCCTTTAACCTTTGAAGTTGCTATGATTGTAAGAAAAGCGAGGATGGCCACAATTCATAGAATGTGTAAAATAGTCCTTTAACCTTTCAAGTTGCTATGATAGTAGTGATAGTAAAATAATGATTCACAAATTGTGAAGCCTTTTGTAACTCTTGAAGATGCTACAACATTAGGAAAACTATGGTTCACACTGTAAAAACAGTATCCTGTGACTTTTCATGATTCACACTGTAAAAACAGTATCCTGTGACCTTTCAAGTTGCTACAATAGTCGAAAAAATGAGAAATATCATGATTCACAGTCCTTTGTGACCCTTGAAGTTACTAGAATGGTCACAAAAGGAAGGCCATGAAGCCCCATGATAATACATTCATAATATAGTGTGTACTATTTAGCACATTCAAAAAAAATTATTTTTAAGCTTTATCGGGCAATATCTATCATTTCTTATTAACAATGATCATGCTGTGTTAATATGGATTTTGGCAAGAGCTAGACTATTTTATGGGTAATTAAAATTTTAAAAATAGCTTTCATGAAGAGATCTGAATCTGCTTGCCTTACACACACACAAACAGGTATTGTTTTTGTCTGTTTGAACATCTGACTGTTCTTTTCACTAGTAAGAAAAAAAATGACTTAAAACTCTTTGTTTGTTGTTAAACACAAAACTACACCAAGAGTACTAAAACCCAGTTTCTAGTGTTATAAGCCTTCAGACTTACCACTGAGGGGCATGACTTGAAACATGGTAGATAAAGTAAAAACTTTCTGATTAACAATATATCATTTTCTTGTGGGGCAAGCAATTTCAAATGTATTTCAATACAACTTTCTTTACTTTTATATTACATATTTTCAATATTTCTGTTTCCAGATGTGACTGGAAAACAGGAATATAAGAACAAAAACAAGATAACAAGTTACTCTACCCATCAAGGTCACCCCCTTACTTAGCAAAACAAGCAACCAAAAATATATCAATTTTGTAAAATTATATTTAACAAGTCTTTCCACAAACTATATTATGCTTGTTCTCCAATATGCTGGTACAGCAAGCTTGCAGCATAAAAGAAATTAGCTGTTGCAAAATATGAGCACTGTATTATCTTAACCATCACATTTATTACACAGATTATCTTGTAACTCAAATTTGTATCTCACTAATTCTCTGAGAAGTTGGTTGATAAGTTTTTAGATAATTGACAAAAATCTAGCTTATTTGTTCAATTAAAATTCTGTAATCTGGTCAAACTTCAAAACAAATTGTTAATAATTCAAACTTCCTAATGTGAGACCAAAAGACAATGAATGTATAAATTTCATTTACACAAATGGAGTCATTCAGCAAGCACATGAAAAAAAAATTATTATTTTTACACGTGACATATTTTCCCTATAATATTTGTGTAGTTATGTGGGTAGTAGTATATAAATAAAATAAATATGATTATTTTTAAATGTGACATATTTTCCCTATAATATTTGTATAGTTATGTGGGTAGTAGTATATAAATAAAATAAATATGATT